ATTTGGAGAAGGAGGTGGAACCAACCTAAGAGCGATGGCCTCCACCCCAGTAGCGATGGCCTCCAACCTAGTAGCGATGCGTAATGGAGTACTAGGTGGCGAGATAAGCCAAAGGTCTGATCCAGTACTACATCGGTCAGCGGCCGTTTAGAAACACATCCTCACAACGTTCCCTTGAAAAGATACCAACCGTTTACATCTGTTTATCACCGAATTTTGGGTCCAACCTTCGCAACTCGCCAACTCGCCCAATCTCTGGCTGTGTCGTTCAATCTCTACCGTCTCGACGGGGCCAGGCTCTCAGCCCAGTGGCTTGCCAGTTCCTCTTTGCTGAGCCGACGGTCCTCTGGCATCCCCACCTCGGAACGGCACTGTGTCATGGATTCGAAACATAGAAACCCGCCGACCCGCCGACGCACGCGGTACTGAAGGCATGCAGAGAGGCTCGGTCGAGAAGCCTTCTCAGTGCTGAAGACCATCGCACGTGACCCGGTAATGAAGACTCTCCGTTCAATCAAGCCCCTCGATTTGGATACGACTTGCGGGCGGTCTGTCTCGCGTGCGCCCACGCCCCCCTTTCCCAGATTTGGATTGTAAAAACCTCCAATTGTTTGGGATTGAAATGCGATCAAGAGTCTACACTACGGAACCCTTCCCCCCATCGACATCAGTCTACTGGGCGCCCAGTAGTTCAGCGGCGAAGCAAAACACTACCTGGTGCGGCACCAGTCAAGTCCCATGTGCCGCCGGCCAGCGGCATGCGGTATTGTTCTTTTGGACGGGCGCTGCATGTCATCCAGATCAAAGCAACACATCACGGTCGCCAAACACATCACGGTCAGATGCGGTCAGACTGGGTCATTTCAATCGATTTCGTCTCTTCCTCGCTTGGACGCGTCGATTTCGCCCAGAAATAACGTCGGGCCAGCTCGACAGGCAAGAATCTGGGGGTCCATGGCCCCATCACCGTGATGCTTAAGCCCAGCAAAATGTATCGCCCATACATTTTAGAAGCAAAAGCATGCCAAAGCTGGAAGCAACAGCCAGCACCAAGGGCGAATCTCAAGTAGGCCTTCGCCAATGCAGCTTTCTGGTTCATTTCATTGAGTGGTAGCCTGACCCCAAAGCGCCAAACTCCCAAGTCAAAGATGAAAAGGTTTGCAGTGCTAGCGCTCAGAATGCCAATGCTCAGCAAGGGTATGAATGGAGTCCAGAAAACCAAGACTTCCATCAGTGTCGTCAGCAGGGACATTTGTTGCAAGGGTTGCAGGGAGCCGCTGGTTCTGGGGCCAAAACCTAGAATTCGAAGCGGCTGCCCCTTCTGCAGGTCTTCTTGGCCTTCCAAGCGTGAAAGCTGCCACAAGAGCAACAACAGAACCGGTTGCAGTGTACTCCTTATCAGCAGTTTGTTCAGTAAAAAGGGTGCCAAGTTTCCCACGATGGCACGACTACAGCGGCCGTCAGACCACCAAGTCTCGTTCCAGCCGCAAATGTCTCTTCTGGTGCTAAGGATCTCTTCGCCATAGATACTCCAATCAAAGCGCTTCTGCTCGATTGCGTCTTGGCAAACACTCCAACTGATTTTCCAGCCTGAAAGACAGTTTTCGTCCAGAAAGACAGTGACCAACAAGGGCAAAAGCCAAGCCGAAAAGAGCCGGAACGTCATCAGCAATCGATCGGCATGCAATCCAGTGAGACTGGAATACTTCATCGAGAGTCGTACCGCTAGGGCCATGTCAATCAAGACTGTCAGTACAGGAGCTGCCTTGTGAAGAAGCTTCAAGAGGTCCTCGCTGATGGCCTCGTTGTGCTGTGCCGGCACAGACTGGACGATGGCGAAGAGGATCGCGGGCAAGGAGAACAATGCAACGATACACACCCATAGAAGCCATGCAAAACTTTTCCAGACTCCCTCCTGCAGTCGTTTGCGTGTGGAACCGTCAGGACAATCGACAGGACCCGTGCAGATTGGACTGCGGGTGGAGGGCATGCTAGCAAAGAGGCTTCGAAAGAGCAAAAGCATGGCACACCAACAGGTGATTACACCAAGCTCCGCCAAAGGCTCTGCTTCGAAGTTGGCCACCGTCGTTTGCCATAAAGGTGGGCTGCATTCCTGGAAAGGTAGCCGGATTGGACGGGTCGGACCAGCACCACATGAACCAACCTCAAACAACAGTGAATCCACCTACCACTGACCACAAGACACTGGTTTCGGCTGTGGGTCAAAACTGGAAACCTTGGGTGAGCACCGAAAAGGAACAGAATAGATTACGAGGAGGTGAACTCAGGGTTTGGGGCTCCGGGAATTTGACTCGCAGCCCATTCAAAAGAGGTCCAAGTCAGTGTGTGTCACACAAAGAAACAAATTACAGACCAGAAAATCACTGGCCCATCTGGGACTCGTAGTAATTGCCTTGGCTCCAAAAGAGCAACAGCAGCGGGCCTGCCAGCACCACGGTGCTGCGTGCAGCTTTGAGCCTCGATGACTCACCGCTGCCACGGTGTGACCCGACGGCTCGACACGTGGAGTCGACCGCGGGCACGGAGTCGACCGACGGCTGAAGGGCTTAGGTGGAAAATGCACGATGACGATGTCGATTTTCCTTTCAAGAAAAGGTGCCATGTTCAGACTTGACCCTCAACCCGGAGCGTGCCAATCCCGTCTAGATCCAATCCCGGCCGCAAGGCCCAGTTGGAGGCGGCCACTCGAGCAGTGCTGCCCACGTCCAAATTCCGCAGCGTCGCTTCCAGACGGCGCCGGCGCAGGGGACGGCACGCAGCCGCCAAGATCAGCAACATCAGAAAACCTGAGGGAGATGGGTCAAACATGTCAAACTGGCTTCCCCACCATCTTCCACCTATAGGTCAGAATTTGGCCCTGGATGCGTGAGAGATGTTCGACTTGGCAATTCTTGGACCTGGATTGCAGTGACATGTTAGTTCGCTGGTCTTTGCCTGAGGCTTTCCAGAAGCAAGCAAGACGTGGAGATTTGGGTCCCTGCCTGCAAGGATAGATACGTTGGATCTCCAAACCACATGCGAGTAATACAGGAAGGATTGCTTCTCTTCCTTCGATTGGTTCCAACCCGGAACCAAAAAAATCCTGCCAGGGATTCACCCAGTTCGGGAAAAATAAATTCTCCCTAAAGCAAAACCAGGGCTTCTTTCAGGATCCAAGATGAATTCAACTCGCTCCCCAAGCCCAGCATGTTGCCCATCACCACCAGGCCGGTCACGTTGACCCGGCTGATGCTTTCAGGCACTTCACAAGAGAAGCGGTTTCGGTGCAGAGTCAGATTGGCCGTGCCATGGGCGGTGATGCATCCATCATTGAGGGTTGGGCAGTTCGCATCAATTTGCTTGCTCAACTCTTTTCGCACTTTGAAGATGGGCAAAAGGCGATACAGGAACCCAAGCTGAGAACAGCTCAAGGCCCCATGTCGGAACCTTGCATTGTCCATGCAAGGACCAGTCAAGCTTAGGTTGCTGATGCTTCCTCCGATGAAGTTTTGGTGCAGGGTCAAGACACCAAGGTGCCTGAAGGCATGTCTCGTTTCAGACTGACCACTGCGAGAATAAGAAAAAACTTTGATTTCAGGGGGTAAATACAAGCAGTTTATCACCTGGCAATTCCGGCAGCATGCATCAGTTGCAACACGCCCTGCCTCAGCATGTGCAAGTTCTGTGGAAGGACTCCTGAGAGTTCGTTCTTATGCAACGCGAGAATCACCAACTCGGGTGCAGTCACCTCTGGGAGAGCTCCTGACAAACGATTATTGTTTAGAGCCAGAAAGTTCAAGCGCCGGAATTGCATCAAGCATGATGGCACTTCACCAGTGAAGTCGTTGTGATTGAGACGAAGTTCTTGCAAGGATCCACCCTTCGGGCTGATGTGGCAAAAGATCCCCGCAAGTTCTGAAAGGCCGCCATGAAAGTTGTTGTGGCTCAAATCCAAATATTGAAGCTTTCTGAAAGACTCGTGAAGCTTTCCATTCATGAACTGAAAAGATCCCGTGAAGGCATTGTGGCTGAGATCCAAGACCTCCAACACGGGCTTCGCGTTCCACACCAGCGAGATCTCCTTGGATTAAGAAAAGAAACACAAAGAAAAAGAAAAGAAGACGATGTCTTTCGGCAGGAATTCACCCTTTTGGGGAAAATAACAAGATCACCCTGACTCGGCAGAAACAGGTCTCTCGGGTGCTTCCCCGCAAGTGGTTTCGGTGCAGTAGCAGCCGGACCAGCTGTGTAAGCTCACCCAGTTCAATCGGAAGGTCACCGCTGAGGACATTCTCGTGGAGGCTCAGAATCCGCAAGGCCTGATCGAGCGGCAAAAGAAAACATCCCTTTGTTACTATGGTAGCTATGCACTTGTTACTAGTATAGCTAGTAGTAATGCCCTTCTTGTTACTAGTTACTAGTAGCAATGCACACGAACATTAACTTGTTACAATATTACAGAATCTGGACGCTGATTTGTTGATCTACAAAAGGTCCAACATGTTACACTTCAATCACATTCAACAAACTCGCAAGTCACCTCGACTTGATGTGATTGACTGGACATGGGAAAACTCGACTGGTGGCTATAGTGGGTCTTCAGGTCTGACCGAGTCCTTTCTCAGCACTTGGACTCGATTCTGAGTGGTTCGTGCGAGTACTTCAAAAGGTGGCCTGTGACCTGTGAATCTTTCCCCAAAAATGTTGCAAACGTTTCGCAATACAGCCGATGAATGAAAAAACATGATGAAGACCCGCTAGCCTACCAGATTGGCTTTGGATCTCCCAGGGGCGTTGTTCATCAACCGTCTACAGTGGGCATCACGTCTGTCATGTGGCCACGATTTTTCACCCCTGTGGACCCATCGAAAACCTGGGCACCCCGACCGCCGTACCCATTCGACAATTTAGAAACATGGTTCATTTGGTGGTGTGCTGTAAATCAATACTGGGGCCCGGGACTTTTTCGTGAATTTGTGGTCCCTGTGCACCTTCAGCTGCCCAATCTCTCGTGGGATACATCCAGTGAGCCGATTCTGACCAAGCTGAAGATATTTAAGATGCTTCAGCTGTCCCAGCTCCTCCGGCTTGGCACGCGTGTGCGAAAGGCGCCAAGGTGCGGAGAAGGGGTCGCGCGTGTGTGTGTGTGTGTGTGCGTGTGTGTGAAGCCCAGGGAATCCTTCGATTGTGCACTTTTCCTTTGAATTTCTGTTAGCAGGGGACCATCGATGTACTGTGCGCGATGGTCCAACGAAGCGGCCACAGTACATGCGGATATCACGGCTGATCACCGTGACGTACCTACTTCATTTGTGAATGTTGATAGCTACATCCCACTCTACTTTCAGGCTGTTTAGGTGGACGTAGTTCGGCAGACTTTGCAGGTTACCGTCGTTCTTGTCGCTCGGTCGCCTTCGCTTTGAGACATGGCTTCAATTTGGTTGGACTCCACTCCATTTACACCTCAGGTCTTTGTTTACCTGGCCTCTTAGGATTATGGTTGCCGTGTGGGGAGCAGCATTCAGGTCAGTACTCATTATCTTGAGTGTGTGTGTGTGTGTCACACTCTGTCCCTAAGAGTTAGTTTCTTCCACCTTGCAAGCAGGGGAGTGGTGCGCGGTCTTGGAGTCACCACTCAACGGAGACACTCCTTGCACCGTGGTGATATTTGGAAAGGACGCTTTCCAGACGTACCTGCTGTCAACGTTTGATCAAGCTGTTCCACTCTCGGTTTGTTTCCATGGTGGCTGGTCACGATACTTTCCTCAAACACTTTCCTTCAGCAGCTTTCTGCAGCTTTCCACTGTCGAGTCGTCGAGTGCTTTCACAGTCAAGCGAAGCCGCCACTGTTGTTAAACTTTCCAAGTGAGCTGACTTCACCACCTTGCGTTTCCAGCGTCCATTTTCCCGAGGAATAGAGTTAACTGCAAACCCATTGTCTAAGTGTGCGCCGCTCTGTTGTCCCACTGGCACCACTGGGTGCAGAGTGTGATCCCCGTCACTGGGGCGCTGAGACCTTTCCGGACTACCGTGTAACTGATTTCACGTTTCCTGCATGCTTTGGATTATGGTTCCGGAATCACACGTTTCACCCATGAATTTCCAGATTCACACGCTGCCGAGCTACGGAGTTTTCGCACCGCCGGGTTTCACGGAGATTCGACCACCGCCGGGTTTACGGTCACACATATTTGTGTCACACACACCCACCCCCCCCCACCTTGCACCCGAATTCGCAATTTTATCCCAATCTAGGGTAACAGAAGGAAATGGTACTCGACACACTGGCACCGACACACGTGCTTTTGATTCACGCGGCTAAGTATTCAGTGACTAGCAGGTTTCGTAACTAGTGGGCCTCGTAACTACACCTATTTTTCTCTCTTGCCCTTGCGTTTCCCTTTCTGTCTTTTCTTCTTATTAAGGCTTTTTAGGCGGTTAACAATTTCCTCCGGAGCGCCGATATCGGCGCTCTGTGTGTGTGTCACACTCTGTCCCTAAGAGTTAGTTTCTTCCACCTTGCAAGCAGGGGAGTGGTGCGCGGTCTTGGAGTCACCACTCAACGAAGACACTCCTTGCAGTGGTGATATCTGGAAAGGACGCTTTCCAGACGTACCTGCTTTCAACGCTTGATCAAGCTGTTCCACTCTCGGTTTGTTTCCATGGTGGCTGGTCACGATACTCTCCCCCAAACACTTTCCTTCAGCAGCTTTCTGCAGCTTTCCACCGTCGAGTGCTTTCACAGTCAAGCGAAGCCGCCACTGTTGTTAAACTTTCCAAGTGAGCTGACTTCACCACCTTGCGTTTCCATCGTCCATTTCCTGAGGAACAGAGTTAACTGCAAACCCATTGTCTAAGTTTGATCATCTATCTATCTATCCATCTATCTATCCATCCATCTATCCATCCAACCATCTATCCACCTATCCATCCATCTATCTATCCATCTATCTAATCCATCTATCTAATCTATCTATCTATCTATCTAACCTATCTATCTAATATATCTATCTAATTCCTCTGTCTAATTTTAGTATCTGATATATCTATCTAGAATATATCTATCTAATATATACCTATCTGAATCTAATACAGTATATATATATATTATATGTCTGTCTATCTATCTATCTATCTATCTATCTATCTATCTATCCAAGTACACGAAGAGAGGGCACAAGTGCATGATCTACACCCAATGAGCAGTCTTGTACCATGCCCTTCAACCGCGCTCCGCACCAACTCCAGAATCCGGTGACCTGCAGGTCCCACCACCTTCTCCTCAAGAGCCAGCTACCTACTGGACGAGGGAATCCTGGCGCACCTGGCTCAGCACCGCCTGTTGCGCAACCGTCCAGCTGGAACATATGCATGAACTTCTACAGACCATCCACGCTCACTTGTATGATGAAGCAATTGGCCAGCTGGGTCGATGCACATCACCCAACCTGTACTGCTGCAACTTTTGCTTGAAGTGCCATGACCCTGAGACAAGAGGGATAAATCCAGCCAATGCAGACCACCGACACCTTCCTGATGTTCCTACAATTTGCACCAACAGGGATTGTCCCGCTCCTGATGAAGAAATCACAGGAATGGAAGCAGGCCATGGAGAATCAGACTGCCAAGCAAGCTCTGAAGCACTTGCTCTTCCAAGACCATCACTCAAACGATTCAAGATCGCTTCTTGCGAATAAATAGCCCAGTCCAAGGCGGGCTCAGAGATCTAGAAGGAGGCCATCACCCACAAAGTCATCACAGAGCATGGCACTTGGCCTTTCCTGGCCTGGCACCCAAAGGAGAAACATATGATGATCACGGAGAAAGCCGCTCTTTCTATGCAGAGTATGCAGAGCTTGGTCGAGGAGATGGTGGAGCTTGCAGCCCAAGGGGAGTCAAATCACTCAAGCCGGAGAACAAGGACGGCTCCAGCTCACCTGTGAGCCCATGCTTAATTCAGCTGAACCCGAGGAAGGAACGGCTCTACGAGATCCTGACTCTTTTGACCGCTTCCTCACTATACTGTCTGGTAGTGGGCAGAGTTCGACCCCACATCAATCGCGAGAACCTGGCAGCAGCGCAATTGATCAAAGTGTGCAACAGCCTGTCCAAGCGGAGGCAATAGCTGGTTGGCTCACCTCCCTGCGTTTGGCCAATGAAGGCAACAGCTGCTATCAGAACTCCATTGTCATCTCCTTCATTTGGCGTAAGACACAGATGGGCAGCTGGCAGGACTTTGGTTGCGCTTTTCATCTTTTTGAACAGCCCTTTCACCATGAGAGCCTATGGGTCAGTTTGAAGCACTTGAGCAGCTTCAAACCCTTCCTGGAGGCGCGGGGAAACGCCCAACAGGGGAATTCCTTGGAGCTTTTCTCCGTTGGACGAAGCCATTATGCTTGCACCTTCATTGGAAGCGCCGAGTGCAAGTGGGCCCCACTGTTGAGACGGTGGACGAAGGCTCCAGATACACTCCGCCAACGGTGTACGTGACCGCTGATGTCAAAAAGATCAGTCTGCAGAAGCTAGTGGATAATTGGGCATCATACATGGGCATGAGCACGGCTTTCTTGCATAGCGGCAAACTTGTGAACATCCATCTTGATCGCTACCACTCCGCTCGCTCAGGTGATGTTCAACGACAAGAATGGGAGCTGATCCTGCCGGATGTGGTCCTGCTGCCAGTGCAAGCTGAGGAGACCCTCACGACATGCGCTATCTTTTACATGGTTGCAGGAGGCATCCTCCATCGTGGAGAGGGCACCTCAGGGCACCTCCAGGCACATCCGAGCCATCGGCCGTGCCAAGGAAGGATGGCACTTGTTCAATGATCAAGCAGAAGCTCAATTCTTGCGGGATCCTCCCTTTCTTTCACATTGGGTCAGCGTGTGGTTAGTGAGAGATGTTTGGACCAAGCTCACCACCCCCATGTACTGGCAGTTTGGGTTAGACCTCACCACGGACCAGATGACCACACACCTGGATGCTGAAGGCTTGGACTGGGATGGGTTCAAGGCAGAATGGATCCAGAGGCTCAGGGCACATTGCAGTCTCTGTGGCCGAATGACCCTCACTCATGAGGCTTGGTTCAACATGTTCGTGCCCGCCACCATGATTAGTTGCAGGAACTGCAAATTGATGCCAGGCGCCAACAAACCAAGCGCCTCAGCTCCTTGCCATGCTTAGGTTGTGGCATGACACCCACTCCGGGAGCTCGGCTACGCACCGATCACATGTGCCTTGCAGAACTCAACCTGCATTTAGGACGAGTCTACACTCACCGGGAGCTTCGACCTCAGAGCACGCTCTTTGGTCTTCGTGATCCACCAGATCTTGCAACTTGGCTTGAAACGCATTAGTTGGGTCCTGCAGCAGCTGGCATTGTGCTGCTACCTTGGTTGGCGGCTGCCGTGCGCTGATGTGCCTAACTTTGACCCTTGGATGAAGCTGCAGCTGGAGCTAACAGCGGCTGCTTGGGCTGCTCCTTGCTGAGCGCTGAAGTGACTGAGGATGGCTCCTTTTTTCACCACTTTTCACTGTTTTGTGCTCCCTGGATTTCGTTTGTTGAAGCTCATAGAGCTGGGTCACAAAGGATGCCTCTCCAGGGCAGTTGCAGCACATTCGTGTGCTCCTGACCCTGATGGATGAATGATTTAGTTTTGAGGAGGCTGGACGCTATAGCAGCTATTTCCTTTCCCTCCTGGGGTTCATTCACCTCACGTTCAGGTGTGAAGGCACCCCGGTGCATAGCTCCCAGCAGTGGAGCCGACAGGTTCTGTCGCTGCCCCGCGGTTTTCGGATGTCCGAAGAGCGAATCAAACTCAAAAAAACTATCTATCTATCTATCTATCTATCGATTCCGCCACCGTGATGGACAGTCGCAGAATGAAGTCCTTGGGGATCTCATGCTCGAGTCGATTTTTGGTCAAGAAGATTTCTTCCAAGGCCTGGCAACTGGAGCTGAGACTCTACGACACCAAGGGTGTCGAGTTTTCGACAACTGATCCCACATGAGCGCCAGGGACGTTGCATAAAATCACGCCTACCTCACCAAGTTTAGGTGTTCTTTGGCCAGGGAATGGCCACCTCTTGTGTTACTGCTGAAGGATGCTCAAGGATTGATACAGTAATTGGCCGCATCCGAGTCTGTTGTTGATGGAACCTCTTTCCCATGTAGTCTCTACAATCCATGGTCATGCGGCCTGCACAGAGAACCTCACACAGGGTGAAATACTTGTCCCTCTTCCCTAACCTGAATCCAGCAACATGAACTGCACAAGGAACCTCTCTTTTGCTACGTCACTTCTTGAATTTTCATCTCTACGACCTACCAGGCTGCGGTGTGGCTCAAGACCAAGCCTCCCCAGCTCGCTCGCACCCCCCCAAAGTCAAACACCTGGCTGAACCGCCTAGTTCTGTGACCCATCTCCGTCGACCTGCCCCTACCGGGACGTCCGGCATTTGACCCTGACCCTAGGCGCCAGGCGCCTCGGACTGTGCCAGTTCTTTGGGAATGCGTCCACTCAGCTGATTCTCGTAGAGCACCAGCGTTCGCAAGTGCTTCAACTCACCCAACTCCTGAAGTTCAAATTCGGTCGTTCGACGGAGTGTTCTCCGGTCGAAGTTTTCAGCGCCATTCACGCTGCGTTTTGTGGGTTCCAGTATTTCGTCCATTGAAGTTTCTAGTGACATCTAGTGTGGGATTGGGGTGTCTATGTCCAATAATCCACAAGTCAGTGAACAGATTCGTTTTTCGTCCGCTGCTCGCCTTTGGCAGTTCGCCTGAGAGTTGGTTCTCCGCCAGAAAGAGCTCCTGAAGCTGTTCCAGCTGTCCCAACTCTTTGGGGAGCCGGCCCTGCGCAAGTCGGGCCCGTTCGATGATGATAAAGAGGGCCAGATCAATAATTACACTCAGACTCACTAACATGGAAGTGGACAATTGCCTTTGGGAAGACGATTTTCCTCTACAAACAGGGTGCAGAAACCACGACCACTTCCGTGTGTGACATGTTGGTTTTGATACTTGGTCGGCTCACACCAGTGATTCAGATGTGGTCGGATGTTTGCCGGAGCCTTTAGTCACTGTATAGATCGAGAGTAGAAGTGGATTTGAGTAGCAAGAAGCTACTAGGTGGAGGTCATCGCTACTAAATAGAAGTGAAGAGCTCCGTCTTTTTTGAAGTTCACGCCTTCTGCAGCCTGTGCCCGTTGGCTCCCTAGATCATGCATGTGACTGACGGTGATTATTCGCGGTGTCCCTTCCCTTTGAGAATGCCTCGGGCCCCCCCAACCGCCCAGTCACATGGGGACTTGACTTGGCGAAAAGAGAGCCCATTTCAGATGCAAAGGATTTAAAAGAATCAGAAAGAGCACACAAAGGGCCAGAAGTGCGGGCGTCTTTTGAGAGGCGAAGCTTTCTCAAGACCGGACGGATTATGACCTGCCTGCAACTGGTTGTGAGAGATGAAGAGACTTCTCAGAGACGCCAAGTGTCCAAGCTCCTTTGGCACAACTCCCTCAAGCTCATTCTCTGACAGCCCGAGGGTTGTAAGTGCTTGAAGACCTCCAAGTTCTTTTGGAATCCTCGGTCCACTCATGGAAAGCAAACATTCTCCCAAAGTGCAAAAAATCCACGGGAAAAAATAACATGTAGAAAACACATTTTTCTACAACAAAAAAACACAAGAACCGCGAAACTGGTCTATAGCTCCCAAAACCCCTCTCTGAGGACTCAAAACATACACCCAAACCAAACATATCATGCAAACGAACGCAATAACACAAAAAGGTCCGAAAATGCACCAAAAGTCGGGCCGGTGAGATGATTCTTCCGCAGATCCAATTTACTGAGAGCTGGCAGCCCCCCGAGACCTGGAGGAATTTCACCCTCCAGGTCATTGGAATCGAAAAACAGAATCCGCAAGGCCTCACCAATGTGCCAAGCGACGGTGACACGGCCGCTTTCCGGCCAAAAGAAAGAAACCAAAAGTGGATGTCCACCCAAAAAGAACAGAACAGGATACTGTGGTAGTACGCATGTTGCGCATTTTGTACCCAAGCTCTCTAAAAGAACCATATACTTTTATAGATCTTTATATTCTGCAACACGATCCAAAACCCCGTTGTGGAGTCGGAAGATTTGGGGTTGAAACCTCAGCGTGTCGCACCGTCGGGGTTGGAGACTTGTTCATCCGGGTCAGACCACCCCTAGGTGCAGTCGGGGGAATGGGAGACCTCCGAAACACTCCGTCGCTAGTAGGTTGGAGGCCATCGCTGTTAGATTGGAGGCCATCGGCCTTCAACTGTGCAAGCTCTGCGGGAATTGGGCCCTTCAGCTGGTTCATGGCGAGATCAAGGGTGGTCAAAGCAGGAAGCTCACCAAGCTCCTTGGGGATTTCACCACTCAGCTGGTTCCGGCGCAGCGTCAATGCCCGCATCGCCTTCAGCTGGCCAAGCTCTCTGGGGATTTCACCGGTCAGCTGATTGCTGTCCAAATTGAACCAGTCGAGGGCTTGAAGCTGACTGAGTTGCATGGGAATCGGCCCCGTGAGCTGGTTCCTGTCCAGAAGCAACGTCGTCAAATTCGCCAGATCTCCGAGCTCCTTGGGGATTTCTCCACTGAGCTGGTTCTGCGAGAGCCAGAGTTCTGCCAAGCAGCTTATCTGGCCAAGCTCTTTGGGGATATGGCCAATGAGCTTGTTCTTCGCGAGCGATAGTTGGAAGAGACGCAACTGGCTGAGCTCCACGGGGATTTCACCACTGAGCTCGTTCTGCTGAAGAGCTAGGGTTCGAAGGACTTTGAGATTGCCAAGGTCCCTTGGAATGCTGCCTTCAAGGTGATTGTGTTGCATAAAAAGCTTCTGCAGTTCCACAAGCTGGCCTAGCTCCTGGGGGATCCTACCAGTGAGCTGGTTCTTGGAGACATCAAGCACTCGGAGCCCTTTCAGTTGCCCAAGCTCCTTTGGAATGCTGCCAATCAGCTGGTTTCCGAACAGGTCAAGTGTTTGCAGATCTCGAAGCTGCCCAAGCTCCTCGCACATGGGTTTCGATATACTATAGGACGAACCTCATGAATCTCCAAAAAGATCTTCGAGTTTGATGGACCAAAAAAGGTCTTTTGGGTAGACTTAGGTCCGAAGGACCATCTTAGGCAATTCCGAATCACGTGTTAAATCGGTTTACATGTATCTGTATTTAGAAGTCATACCTTTTTACCCTGTCATGCATGTGCTTGACGCAATGGCTCCCCTAACTCCTACAGGTCTCCCTTAACGACTCCCAGGCCCCGATCCGCCAGCTGTCCTGGGGGATTTCACCCATCAGATGATTGTTGGCCAAGTAAATGGCCTCCACGCGGCTAAGCGCTCCAAGTTCCTTGGGGATCTCGCCAGTGAGCAGGTTATCATTCAGCCGCAGAAAATTCAGAGACTTCAGCTCTCCAAGTTCCTTGGGAATTGGGCCAGTCAAATGGTTTTCAAACAGATCGATGAAGAAGAGGTTCTTCAACTGGCCCAACTTTGAGGAAAGCTTCCCACGAAGACCTCGTCGAATGAACGCTAAGCCGATGATGTCTCCTGGTGGATCGCACCCAGGCGGTCGGGTCCGTTCGGAACACACGGTCCGTGTCGTGTCAAACGCGTTCGAACGAAGCTCACGGGTCCGATCCTCATGATCCTCGAAGCTCAGGTGAAAGCGTCAGGTGGGTTGGTGTGCCCGTGTACGTGTACGTGAACGTGTGTACGTGTCTGGAACTGTTTGCAAACTTGGATCTCTCACATGGCGCAGGTCATTCGCCTCCCAGAATCACTGTGATTTGTTGAGCCGGTCTGGTTAAAAGCTGGATCTTTGGATTGATCCTGGAAGTTTTGCTTCAGGGCGGCCCCTCATCGTCTTCGGGTGTTTCGGAAGCGAAGGCAAAGAGGGTGACAGGGTGACATCCCACACGGACAACAGACTCGAAGGAACCAGACTCGAGCAAATCCAATCTGTCAAAGAAAAACCGCGCAGAACACACATCTCGGGCTACACCACTCATCTCTCACATCACGAAACAGGTCGAAGCATGCTGTTTTGCCCTCCCTTTCGCCGGTGAGCCCTGTTTTTGGTCCGCGTCCTTCATGACAGGTGATGCCCTCTGCACTGCACGGGTGTCGGGCCATGTCCTCCGCATCCTCCACACCCAATTCCGCCAAGACCTCTTGCAGCTCAGACGTGGGAGCCGGAAGCCGCACCTGTGCAGCACCAGCGTGCGCGCCGGCTGTCGGTTCGCGCGCATCAAGCGTGCGAGACAGCGCCCAGCTGGAGAGCAAAGATCGAAGGCTCATGATCGGTTCTCTGACGAGGTTCAGGGGGATCCAGTAAAACGATTCTTGGGCCCAAATACTTCATTTACTGGGGATTGGAGCTCTTTCAGAAACCCCATCTTTGGGAATGCCCAAGAAAACATGACAACCTGGCGAGTCGTTCCCTATTTGTAGTTGAGTTGAATGATTTCAACCCACCTGAAAAAAAGAATGAGATTGGTCCGTGGCAAATGTTGCAAGTTGTCTGAAAGCGACCAATTCTAGTTGTAACTTGGACACTGGACACAATGATGGCGATCGCCAAGGACGGTGACTTGAGCCAACGAGTCCGGCGATGCCACAAAAGGGATGTGGCGAGACGTCGGTGGCTGATGTTTCAGCAAGAGGGTGCCAAACAGGTGGCTCGAGAGCATGAGAGCATCTCCTTGCAGGGTGATCTAGAATCGGCGAGTTTGCACCAACTTGTCCCTTGAATGCCAAACAATATCATGGAATACCTGGACTGCAAAGGACTGCCCATATCCTCCACACGTCTCAAGCTTGGTGTCACCCCCAAAACACCGAAACCAAGGCAGACCAGGGAGTGAACTGGGAGTGCTGTTGGGTTTAGGGTTTAGCGCCAAGGACATCATCTTCAGCCTTCAGTGCATGCGGCTTCTTGCATGCCTGGGTATGTTTAAAGGTCTCTGATCTCTCTATGTCGCCCCTTTGCGCCATTCGTGCCTCCGTGCCCAACGTGGTGTGGACAAAAATGAACATGCAGGACGGTCACCACCCATTCGACCCTCGACCAAACCATCTTTCGACTTGTGGAGTTTCGGGTGTCAGGACTTGCACCCTTTCTGGGTTTCTGGACGGCATTGGGGCAGATCCACTCGATGTAGCTGGTGAACCTCAGCTCACGGAAGCGGGATGGAAGCCAATGATCGGCAGTCGTCAGGGAAGGTATCCCCAACATAGGTACAAATCCGCGCTCCAAGAACTTAGAAATATTTGCATGATAAAGGAACCTCTTTCCAGTTGGTCTGGGGAAACAAACACCGGACCAAACATGGTCATCTTCGAATGACCAGACCATCGACAGGAACAAACCTCGACCAAACCTCGACTCAACCGACCTCAACCTCTACAGACATGGTGACACGTCTACCAACCCGCCTGAAACACCCATGGCTCCCAAAAGAAACACTGCCGACCCTGTATTCCCGAATCATCAAAACGACGTACCTCATGTTCTTATGCATGTGAAAACCGGTGGAGTCCAAGACGATTGAAATGGTCTTTATGCCAAGGACTTCCTGGGTATACTGAATAGGGGTCTCCCCCTGGGCACACCACCTGATATACACTTAGTCTTACGTTTGAGATGTTTGCGGCTTTCCCTTCCGGTCGGTCATGGTGTCTCCAAATTCTCGGATTTCATCGGAGAACTCTGTGGATGACAACTGCACAATGAATTCGTCGCCAAAGTGGAGGACCCACTGACCCAGGGGCTCAGACAGCCCTTCAAAAGGGGCCACCTGATCAACTGCAAACAATCCGCTTTCATCTTTTTCTAGGTTGCAACAAGTTGCAACTGACAAATTTCGGATACAACACCAGTTCTGGCACTTCTGTCCCCACTACGTACTCCAATCTGCCCCGCTTGGTATACCGACAACCTGAAGTGTGCCACCTGGCTACAAACTTCGCACGTGGGAAACACACGTTTTCAGACTGCTACCAGTTGCCCTCGGTGCCATGCCCTCCTTCATGGACGAAGGCCGATTCCGACATCAACTCAGACTATCAGAAGACATATGGACCATGAAAATGACAGGGCCAGGCCCGCAAGCTAACGCGCTGGCGGGCGGGCGCCAATCGGAGAAAACCCTTGGGGCCCGCACTTGCATTCATATTGTGCTTGGATCGGATCGATGTCGTGAATGAACCAGAGGTAGGTCGACACGGCCTGGGGTCGACGGTCCAGACGGTCGGACCGGTGGCTTTTTCTTCGTTCGATTCTCCGGAGGACGGTGAAGGACAAGCGAACACGGTTCCTACAGAAGTGAGACCGGAACCCGGTATGTTGCGTTGTTTATGTGTATGCTAAAAGCCGGAGCTCTTCCACCGGGAGAGAGAGCCTGGTCTACAGCCAGTCTGCTTATAAAGCTATAAAAGCGTCCGTCAGACTGTCTGTTGATGAAAAAAACATACAAAACGGTTTCACCCGGTTTATCCTTCGATTCCTATGGATTCGTGGGTGAGAACGACTTGCAGATCTGTTGATCCTGCAGAGATCAACTGAGCGTCTCATTTCGTGCCAGCTCACGGCAGTGCTTTGCTTCTGGAGCGTCCAGAAGCATCAAGAAAAACGGTCAGAGCTACCTCAGAAATCTTAATTCATTGGTCAAGACACTGCGTGACTTTCCAGGAGTGTACATGGCGGTTTACCCAAAAAGAATCAAATACAATGCACGACCTCTTGCCACCCTCTGGAAATACGGAAGAATGCAAGAAAGTGCATCTTCTAGGTCTGTCCAAAGTGCAAGTACCCAGGTCCAGCGTGTCTCCCTTCAAAGTCCTATGGATCAACCAAACCCAGACCAGACCTAGAGACACCTCACCTATCCCTTGTCACTTCCCCCAATCTGTGCCCGCCCACACGGTCGACCGTCTTCCCCACCATCTTCCCCCCCCCCGGCGCCTCAAGACCACTCGCTCCAAGAGCTTGCTATCACAGAGAGCTCTCGGAACACGAGAGCTCTCTTCACTCTCTCCGTAGACTAAGAGCTCTCTTCACTCTCCCTCACGTTCTGAGAACCACTCGTCCTCCCCTCCACCCTCCACCCTCCCTCTGAGCGGCCACCGCGTCGCTCGAGAGCTTCTCCTCGGTGGGCGACAAGCGCCGCGCCGAGGTATAGCGCAGCCGGCCCCGCAGGCGTCCCTCGGTGGCAGCGGGTCGAGGACACCCCGGGGACCCTGGGACAGGCAGCTGGGTCACGTGGAGGCTGAGACCGGATGCCGCAAATCAGAATTCACATGCATCAAATGGGTCAGGGTGCACGGGATTCTTGTGTAACCAATGAGTATCTGGAGTCCTTCCTCTAAACAACCAGCAAAATGTCTGAAGACAGCAAGCCTACCACAATAAACCCCTTCAAAAAATGGACCCACTGCCATGATTGCTTAAAAATCTATATATACTTCCCCTTGAAAGGGACGGAGAAGGCACCCTCTTGCACGTATGCTCCCGATGCTTTCCGACCGAGCCACAACTTGATCGATGGCCTCGGGCGAGAAGTCTTCCAAGTTCTTCTCCTCCTGGCTCTTCAAGTGCAAAGAACCCCCTCTTCTTGCACGTTGGAAAGTTTCGTGGTGCCCCCGCACGGTCCTCCAAAGAAACCAGACAATCCTCACAAAAACTCTGAGAGAGGTGTCTGTGTGTTTTTTTTTCAGTTACTCCTACATTTTTTCTTAAGCAGCCATCTTCGTTTATTCATCACATCTACGCCTACCGGGTCGCCCCAAACCAAACCTCGGCACTGGCGCCGTACCACGGCCGTTCCGGCCCGTTCCTTGGTCGGCGGTCCGCACGTGCCCGGACCCGAGGGGACGGGTGGACCCGATCGACCCTCGTGCCCACCTTCTCGTGGGACTCGCCGCTCTGATTCAAGTGCAAGACCTGACAGCCAGAGACGCCGCACCGCGTCTCGGTCGACTGGACGAGTCGTCCGGAGCGGAGGGGAGTGGAGCGGGGGGTCAACGGTTGGGGGTTCTACTGGTCCAGGCGGAGTCCTACACAGTCCTACGGAGTGGTGATGAATTGTTGGGCTGGGAATATGGACAAGAATCAACTAGAATCAATGATCCAAGTTGTAATAACATGTCAATGTAACAACCATAGATCCACGTTGTAACGACCACTTTGAGATATAGAATCCATGTTTTTGTTGATGGGAACCCTCCATGGAATGGGTGCAGTCCTCTCCCGGTTTCTGCTTCCCTTACTTGCCAGGTTTGGTTGAGTTCCCCTCCGGCCCGTCCGTCTCGAGGCCTCCGTCTCGATCTTCCCCGCCGAGTCAACGAGTCACGAGAAGCGAGTCATTTGGAGTCGAACCACGGCCACTCCCTGCTAGCTTTTTGCTCCTAGTAAGGCCAGGAGCCCCGTTCGTAGCTTCTTGTTCCTCCATGTTTTTGTTTGGAGAAACCAATTCCAAAAATGGGAGTGGCCGTAGGTCGGTGATCCACTTTTCCTGGGCAGGACCAAGTGGCCGAAGCGTTCTTCTTCCGCTGCCTGCGCGGCAAAACAGGGACAAGAAGCACCAAAAGAAGCGGCGCCGGTGGAAGTCGGCAGGATGGCGGTGCCATGGTTCCAGGGGGTGGAGGTGACATGGTGATGGTGAGACTGGGACTATGTCCAGGACTATGGGAAGATACGGCAACTATTGCTTCAACGACTAAGGAAAACTCATCCAAAACATCACCTCTCCGTTTCGACCTACATCTTTGTCCTTCACTCCCTCCAAGCCCGGAGGGAACAAAGGATCTTCTGCCAGTGCTGCGCCACACAACACCCGCGCAAGCGCGACTCACCCGCGACTCGCTTTGCGCTTGGCGCCTGGAGACCCAGAGGCTGAAGCTCAAGATGGCGATGATCCTCGCCGCCAACGGCCGCCGTCCCCCCGACGTCCAAGGCGCCGACGTGCTGACGAAAACGGGAAGATGGGAAGATGGAGACACCGTTTGCAAACAACGAAACCGGTGCAAATCCAAAGCTGGTCGAGTCAACTCTGGCTGAACACCAGCAGAACAGCGGAGTTGACATAGGGGATGATATGTCCTCCACCCAGTAACCTCGGGCTGTTCTTGGGCTGCTAGAGGGTGGTAAGCTTGGCTTGTTGGGTACAAAGAAGTGCGAAGTGATGGTAAGAAAGGAATGAACAGCTCTTAATCTGTATCTGTTATTTGTTTTTTTGAAAGAACAACTTCGTATGAGATCATGAGTTTATATTGGTGGAGGTTCCCTCGAGATGTCAAAAAGAAAAGATCTCAAAACGGAGCCTCCCCAACACCAATGGAAGGTCCAGTTGAGACCATGAAGACGTTCAACAAAAACCTCCCTGGCGACGCACTCACGGCGGCTCCAGGCAGGCAAAAGGGTGCAAATGACGATCAAGTCCACCTGACAAATAGCGACGGCGAAAACGAAAGAATCATCCAGCTGGCTCGGTTTGCGGGTTTCCACGGAGGAGCAGGGAAAGCAGCAAGTTCACTGTGTCTAACCGTCTTCTCCTGGTAGTTCAGAATTCAACTGGGCTGCCCTTTTGGTAGAACCACACAGCACTAGGGGTGAACAAAGGAGTGAACCCTCCAATGAAAGTTGTAGAGACGGCCAATTAGGAAACTTGGCACTGGGCGTGGGTGGCCTCCAGGGTTGACTTTTTGACCAAGATTCCCGTGCCGCTCCCTGATGATGTCATGACTGCGGCGTCGCTTGCGGCAAGAAATGGATGAAAAGAGATTGGTGGAAAGCACCGAACCCTTGCAAGGTACTGAACAACTGCGAGGAAAGTTCTCAAGGCACGCACAGCAATCATCGTCAACAAATCATCCAGAAGATAGTAGACTACTCTGTTCAGCACACTCAAAAAACATCTACACCCATACCCAATGCAACCCAATGCACTCTCATCGTTTCAACTGGAACATATGCTGTTGGTTGCATTTGTGTATGGAAATCCTTGCAAACTAAAAGGCCTCGAAAACACGAAACCCGCAACTCCTCCAGTGTGCTTGGGTCCCACATTGGGTTTTCTCAGGGCTGGGGACTGAGGAAAATACCCAGATGCTTGCAGCAGGCGCAACAGACTGCTCCGTTTCTCCCATGATTTGGCTTGCTGCATCTTCATAGTTGAGGAAAACCAAATTTTCAAAAAATGAATAACGATCAAGGAACCGCGAGCCACAACTTCGGTGGGTCAGCAGCAATCACCAAATTGCTTGCTTGCGCGCAGAACTACAACATGGGTTTTCCCAGGGCCTGGCGAGGGTGTTTTCCCCTAAAAGTCAGGGTCGCCTCTATTCTCTAGCAGCTTCGGGAGTTCCACCATCGCCCTCTGACTGCGCTCAACCTTTCGGCCCCCACCGTCTGGGCCACTTCTTCACCGCCGAAGCCAAACCATCTGGCGTGGAGACAGCGTGGATTGGTCTCTTTCGCCGAAGAACAACATGACGCGGATGTTCGGCATCGAATTTCGAGTGAGAAGGCCATGGTGGCTTGTTGCTGTGTCAAAGGCGGGAGGGTTCGCATGCGATCGGTTCGCATGCGGAGGGGCACGGCACCGGTCGGCCGCTGGTTCGCACCCAACAAACCGTTCCCGCTGCTGGTCGGTCGGAATTCGCCCTCCGGTTTCAGAGTTCGGCTGCGGTCGAACGGCATTCTGCCGGAAGCGAAGCTGCGTGATTTCGCAACAAATCCCGTCAGCGTGAGAAAGGAAAGTCACAAATTACAACCGGGGTGTCTCCTCTCTAAGTGGATGATTGCACATGGCCACGGAGTGGGTTCCCCCAGCTTTAAATGTCCGGTGCGTCCTGCCTGTCTGCCAACATGACCACGATGACATCACCTCAGATTGTTTCAAGGACATGCACCTGCTTCTGTCGACTTGGCTCTTTCAGTTGGAAAGCCCAATTGAGCTTGAGGTGTAGCCAACATCTCCAGCAGAGTTGGGTCAAGGACCACGGAAAGTTACTCGTAATCTACTCTGTATGCTGGTTTTCACTTGTTGCCAAGGTCAGCTTCAATTCACTTGATCCCAGCTCCAGCATCCTCCAAACCATTTCGCCACCTCCGACCTCCCCTCAGAGAAAGCCCCGCTGCGAGCGCCCCGCGGAAGATCCGAGCTGTCCCGGCCGAGGATGATCGAAAGCAGCAGCAGCTGACAGGCCATCGCGAAATGATCGAAGGCCGTGGCGTAGGAGACGATGGGCAGCTTGCTGTCGATGGACAGGCCTCGATAGGCAACTCGAGAGGCGACAGCTTCGAGAAGCGAAAAGAGGAAGAAACTGAGAGGCCGCACACGAGGACCCGGACGCCGGCGTGCCGACAACTGCATGCGTCGACAACCTCTGGACTCACGAGGAGAACTCGTGACCGACCTTCCCTACACCCGGCCTAATTGAAAGGGTGTGTAACTCGTGAGTCGTGACACCACCCCACTCGTGACATGGGCGGTTTAGCGTTTTTGGGCGATTGGACGTCTTCTCCCCAAGAAAAAAACAAAAAACGAAGCCTTGGATCCCTTCTGAGAGCCCGACCAGGCGAGACAGATCATTCGGGGGAAAAGACCAGGTCGACAGAATGCTTCAATATTTTTACGACTCACATCCAGGAGTCACAAAGGGATGCCGAACTTGATAGGGATGCCGGGATGCCCGTAATCCACTCACTTAGGGACTAAACACCACCCCTTTGTGACTCCTGGATGAATATATTAGTTGCCAAATTCTGCTAATCCGTGTTTTGATGTCCGGCTCTAGGAAGAAAAGATCAGCCGGGGTCGGGGTGGTTCTTGCTAAACACCGCGAAGAATCACCTTTTGAAAGAGCGGCAACTGCAGTTGCTGCAGCAAACCGACATGATGCCTACAGGCAGCAAGAGGTGGGATCCATGTCTTAATGTGCCGCTGGTGTTGCAAACCTGGAACAAGAATAACGTCCTTGCATACCACCCTAAGTGGTCATCGACAAAGCTACTATATAATCCTGCAAAGTTCTCTACAGGCTTCTGACTCGACCTGGCACAAAACTCAGGCACATCAGGCTTTTTACTGACTCGACCTCCATGTTCCAAACCCCACCGCACCCGGAGCCCGCTGTCCCCGTCGGTCCCGGTCGTCCCACACGAAGACCGGTCATCCCGGTACGACACTTCACCGAGCCACGGAAGGTCGTCTGGGCGAAGAGGATGGAGATGCAAAAGCGGAGCCGGTCGAAGGGCGGCCGCATCTGGGCGAATTCCGTCCAGGTTCCAACCAGCCGAAGCAGAGTCATGTTGGGCACGGTTTGGAAGGAGCGGTGTCAGACCAGGAACGACGCTTCCAAACAGTAGATAGAAAAGTAGGAAACCGTTATCTATTTTTTTGGGGGGGGGTCACTACACTCTTCAACAGTCTCAAGCCGAAGGGATTGTCATTGTACTTGCTCCTATCACCAGTCCTCAATGGGGACTAAGGAACATAAGCTGTTCTGAAACACCCACCGGTGTAGCCATCAAGCTGACCGGTAGCTAAGTAAATCGTGGATAGCGAACAAGATAATAGTTAATAAAAAGAATAAATCAATGTTGGATAGGTGACTGTTGGTAGACCGTTCATTCTAATTCATTGGAGGTGTTGGTTTCCAGAAGCGTTTTAAAGGTGGGGTAGCAAGGTAAGGCTAAGAGATGAATGACCTGGCAAAATAATTGATAAATAATTAGAAGTAGACCAAGATTTAAAAGTAAAATACAAAGAAATATAACATTGAATCTTAATCTGTGGGTTGGGAAATGCTTGTGGGGTCAACAACTTATAAATAATGTAAACATAATCTGTGATCCAAGATTTAATGATAGGAATGTAGACAATTCGTTGATTTTACACATAATGCATTGCATTAAATTGTGAACCCTTAGGATGTTTAGCAGATATAACTTGTTTTCAGTCATTTTGACCAAATAAGATAATGAAAGACAAGAAGGAAACAAAAAGTAAAAAGTAAATGAAGGAGAATGTGAGATAAAATGGCAATCGTAAGGATTTCTTGTAACCCCAAATGATGAATGAATATTAATTCTGGATTCCCAAATGGTATATATGAAGGAAATGGGATTAGTCATCCTTGGAATTCAAAAAATTGGAAGAATATGAAATGAAATGAAATTATATGATATCTTAGATGTTGTTCTTAGAGAATTAAATACTATAAAATAATATGAAGGTGATTAAGAAGGATACAAAATACAAATCAATTCCGTAACTATTGTTTAAAGATTACAAGATTAGAAGAGGCAGACAATGGCTTCTTTAAAATACGAAATTAATAGAAAGCAAAAAGAAACCTTCTGTATTGTTCATTCATGTGCATTCACTGTTATCTTACAAGAGCTTATTTGGATTCAACGTGAATGAACCCACCATTGGATTTTATCAATCGATTTCTTCATGTCTTCTTACTATAACAATGGTGATAAGATAAACACAATAGATAATCTGCCAAAATTTAAGAAACCTACATTAATTTTGGCAGATTAGATTAAGAATATGATGGTCATGCATTTTTCCAAGAAGATATCACCCATAACATGAACTTAATTAAATCTTGGATCGTTCAGTTGTCTTCTATCTGCAAGAACTTTCAATAGAGTCCACAGGCTGTGTCTTACCTTTATGAAAATTATTCGAGTATCTATTCTTATTATAAGATTTCTATCCGAGATCCTAGATTCAATGGTGAGGTTGTCAATCCTTTAAGATCTGTCTCTTTGCTATCGTCCCTCTATTTTAATAGTGAATCTTGTGAGATTATTCACTCTCTAATTTCCTCATAAAGCCATTTAAAAAAGTATCAGTGTTTATACTGTTTATTGGCTTTACGTTATTGCTTGTCCTGCTGGTAGTCCACCTTGTTGTCCTGTCTTGGCTTGGTTTGGTTTGGTGGGGCCGTAACCCTACAGATTTATGATACAGTAATAAAGATGCCAATCATATGGTCAATATTATTGCAATAACTTAAAGAATTTTTGACCATAAATTTCGATGGTTCATAGTTCTTCTTATTGGTAATCATTTTCCATAATAGAAATAACATAAAAATGATGACCATAAATTAGTAATGCAAAAACCCTCATGAAAGAAATGGAATTACAATATCGGTTTTTGCCCGCCATTAAATTATTAAGAGATTGTCAATGTAATTTAATGGTGGTTAAGATGGGTGGTGTAGGTAATCAGCTGTGGAAAGAGTGGTTACGATACAGCCGATGGATCACTTCGGTCGCCTTTTGCTCCTTCATTCTCCGATCTTGGCTGTAGCCCCTAGACACTTCTAGGTTCTACAACCTACAACCTACAGCTTAACTTATTTGTAGGTGGTTGGTGGTGGTGCTAGTTGCTGGTGGTGCCCATCAAGGGATAAAAGTAGAACATCATAGTATAACTATAATTCTGAGGTGTGTCTTTTCTTAATTCTTATTAAGAATGAGCTTGTTAAGCTCTTTCACTTGAAAGGCGGGTATTTGTATGTACGATCCACTTCGTTTTAAGTCGGAGACCTATCCCGATCCCCAAGAGAACGTCTTCCAGGTCAACAGAAGGTGTGACATCAACAGCCAGCAAAAAACATGCACCGAAAGGCCATGATCCAATCGGCTACCTGCAGTGTGTGAGTAAAATGAAAAGGATGATCCTGTAAGATCCCTAAAAATCAGTTGTACTTTGGCCAATCCAAACATCTCCCCCGCCACTCCACCCGCCACTCCACCCGCCACTCCACCCGCCACTCCACGCATTTTTCCGCCGCTCCAATCACACGCCCTGGTTCCGGGGCCTGGAGCAAATACCCCGCGAAGGACGAGGAAGCAATGGCCCACCTCAGCGCCACTTGGATGTGTATTCAACTAGGGAGACCTCACTGGAGACCCCCCTGACCCAATGATTTTAACGGGTAGACTGATTGATGTCCCTTCGTCCGTGGCCAAGTCTTGAGGCTTCGAAGCCTCGTTATAAGTCTCGGGTCGTGTGGGGATCCCCCAGGTCGTGTGAACAGTCCCAAGTACTGGAGAGTGGGCACCCGTTGAGTCTCCAAGCTCGGCACCCCATTGAGCCCCTCCTGGACAGGTCCTTCATAAATCGCATGGTGCCTGATCCAGCTGGCGAGCAGAATCCTTGAAAGGCCCGCCTGTCCGTGAAGGGAAGCGGGGTCACTTCAGAACACAAGTTTTAGTTCACTTTGGAACACAGGGTTTTAGTTCGCTTTGGAACACAAAACATGGGTCACTTTGGAACACAACGCACTTGATTTTTTGGTTCACTTTAGAACACACACACACACAGACACAGATGGGGAGGGTTTAAGGATGAAGGATGGGGTGGGGTGGGGGGGATGGGGTGGGGTGGGTTGCAGTTAGCAACCAGACAGTGCGACTCTGAAGTGCTGAAAGGGTTGCCAGATTGGACAAGGTCAACATCTTCAGTGGGGGGTGGGTATGTGGGGTGGGTTGCAGTTAGCAACCAGACAGTGCAGACTAGTCGTAGCGATGGCCTCCAACCTACTAGCTCTGACACGCGTTCCGAAGCGATACCGTTCCCGCGTTCCGAAGCGAACTATTTTCTGCGTTCCGAAGCGACTCGCTCGCCTCCGTGAAGTGGGTGTCCGTGAATGGTCTCTACCAACCGCCTCTTGTGACTTCTGGTGCATGTGGTGCATGGGAATACCCTCAACGTTCTCCTGGAATCGATCCAAACCTGGGAATTCAAGTGTATTCTCAAGCCATCTCGAGGCAACCTCTTCCAAAGCTGCAAAGTTCCTTGTGGATTGACTTTCTTTCGGAGGGTATTCCTGACAGGCCGAGCAATTTCGACATGCGAAGGAGGACAGTGCGATGACCGGATGAGAAGCTGGACCCAACTGTCGGGGCGGAAGATGGCACCGGGGCACAATGTCATCAGCACGTTGAGGACGTAGTACATGTAGCCGCCTCGGTGATCTGGGGGCTGCAGGAGAAGGCACTTCTATTTGCTTCATATGTCTATATTTACTTGTTTTCTTTCTTTCTTCCTTCCTTCCTTCCTTCCTTCCTTTCTGACCTTTGTTCTTCTTTTTTTCCGAATGCGTAGCGAAGGGTTCTCGTTTAACTCTGGGGGTCTGGGGGTTAAGCCCTTGTTCGCGACCCGTTGCTTCTAAGTGCGCAACCGTCCGCAACCGTTCGCAACCGTTCGCAGCCGTCCGCAACCGTCAGCAGTAGAGCGCTAAGACGCTGCCATTGGGGGAAGCTTTTGGAGAGGGTTTCGGATGAAAACGTGACGTGTCAGATTCGTGCGAAATAGGGCTGAAGTGTGGAGGATGATTTCACTGCGCAGGCGCAGCGTTTTGTGAGATCCGCAGTTTGCTGCGCAGTTCCATTGGGATTAGCGTTTGGAGAGTCGTTTTTTTGGGGTGTTGGATGTGGCCGTGCCATTGGGGCTTGCGTTTCAGGGTGTGGCATCGAAGCTCTGTTTTCGTGACATGTCTCAGCTGAAATGCCGATTTTGGTGGATGGGAGTGTGCTCAGAACGGGTCGAAATCATTCCAAACGTGTGGTGTGGTGCAAAGTTTGCTGAAGCTCACATGAGATGATATTGTCACTTTTCGTGGCAGGCGCAGTACTTTGTGCGGGCTTTGAGGTGTGGCAGTGCGATTTTCGTGGCAGGCGCAGGGAATCGTGAGGTTGCGAGGTGTGACGGAGGTGACATTTCGTGGCAGGCGCAGTACTTTGTGCGCGTTAGACGTGTGGACGCGGAAAGATTCGTGGCAGGCGCAGCGGATCGTGAGGTTGTGAGTTGTGGTAGAGGTGAATGTCGCTGTCACATTGGGATTCGGGATTGGCGTGTGAGCGGGTGTTGTTTGGAGGGGCTGGAATCGCGAAACTGCTTGGCAGAGCTGCGTGATGTGTGTGCTCCGATGGATGTTTCCGCTTGACTTTTGGAGGAAGTCTCGTACGAGACGCTCGTTTTGCAGCCATTGGGATTTGCGCAGCCTTGGTGGAAAGTGCGTTTGCGTGGCGCCGTGCCACTGGGGTGCGCGAAACAGGCTGGCGTAAACGCGGCGCGCCGCTGGTGAGCAGGGTGATATGTGGTATCAAGAGTGTCCCAAAAGAGTGCCCCGCAAGAGCTTCTTACAAGAGTGACCCACAAGAGTGTCCTACCTAGATAGAGTGTCCCACAAGAGTGTCCCGTATGTGTGTCCCACAAGCGTGTCCCACAAGAGTGTCCCGCAACCGTGTCACACAAGAGTGTCTCACAAGAGTGTCCCTTAAGAGTGTCCCACAAGAGTGTCCCACAAGAGTGTCCCGCAACAGTGTCCCACAAGAGTGTCTCACAAGAGTGTCCCTTAAGAGTGTCCTACAAGAGTGTCCCGCAAGAGTGTCCCACAAGAGTGTCCTACAACGGTGTCTCACAAGAGTGTCCCACAAGAGTGTCCGACAAGAGTTTCCTACAAGAGTGCCCCACAAGAGTGTCACACAAGAGTGTCCCACAAGGGTGTCCCGTAAGAGTGTCCCACAAGAGTTTCCTACAAGAGTGACCCACAAGAGTGTCCCACAAGAGTGTCCCATAAGAGTGTCCTACAAGAGTGTCATTTGGACATATGTAGCTTTTCGAACGTGTTTGCATTCGGGTTCGGCTGCTCCATCTTGTATCATCTTGTTCTGTTGTTGTTTTAGTTATTTGGTTATGTATGATGTCTGTCTGTCTGTCTGTCTGTCTGTCTGCCTGCCTGCCTGCCTGGCTGGCTGGCTGGCTGGCTGGCTGGCTGGCTGGCTGGCTGGCTGGCTGTCTGTCTGTCTGTCTGTCTGTCCTTCCTTCCTTCCTTCCTTCCTTTCTTTCCTTCCTTCTTTCTTTCTGTCCTTCTTTCTTTATTGGTTTCTTGCTCCGTTCTTTTCTGTTCTTTTTCTTTATTGTATCTTTAATATTCTTTGGCTATAGGTTGCAGATCCGAAGATGTTACGGTCCAAACGCCAAACAAAGATCTCCTGGACCTTCCCTCACACTCTTTTGCATCCTCCTGTTGATCGTTCCAAGATGTTCCATAATGTCTTCACGAAGCAAAAGAGATTTTCCCAAAACTATGGCAAATCGCCTCTCAGGTCCATGAGGTCTTCTTCCCCTCATCGAATCTCCCTTCGCCCTCTGACACCAAGCCACGGCCGATGACCACGCCGAACTGCACCCGCGCGCGGCCGTCGGGGCGGTCGGTATGGTGGAAGGCGCCCAGCAACTTCCACTCGTCGAGGCGGATTTGGCTGTCCACGTGGCAGAACCTGGAACAAGAAGCTACTAGGCGCTGGAGGGAATCGCTACTAGGCGCAAGGATGCTACGAACGGGGCTCCTGGCCTTACTACTAGGAGCAAGGACGCTACTAGGAACAAGGCAGAAGCTGGCCACGTCTCAGGTGGACGGGATCGTCGCATTTGTTCGCCGAATGGTGGAGACGGGGGGACGGGTGGCAAAGGGGACTTGATGGGGGTTTAGTTTGGCCATTCAAAGCAAAGGTAAAAAGGACGGCACGGTGGACGGCACATCGAGCACGGACCAGGTCACCGGCAAAAGACAGCTCGATCTCGGTCACGGCGCGCACGGAGGCCTGCGAGCAGGGCACCGGGGAAATCAACCAAAGCACGACCTTCAACACACTATCATTAACAATAGTAAATTCAAACAGATAGCAATCTATAGTGTTAATATCATATAGATAGCAATCTATAGCAATACAACAAAGCACTATAATATACTATAGCAATCTATAGTATAATTCTGATTCAATGCAATATTACCATCAATGATGTACCCAGGTTACAATACAGATCTTCCCCAAAAAGCGCGATAGACCTTGGAACTTCTCCATCCACGCGCGACACAGTTCCAGATCGATAGAAATCGTTCATCGCTGAGGATAGCTGAGTATAGCTGGCTCTGGGTCAAACCGGGAGACCTTGGTTAACCACCGAACATGAATTGAATCGACTACATACAAAGAAGGACAACCTACCAGGGTGAAAAACGCGGTTTTGGACATGTTTTGACCCACAGTCAGCTGAGTCCACAGGTCAGGGTGGGTCCCAGGCCCGGCCTGAGACGGTCGATTCGGTCGAAATCGAGTTTCAGCTTGGAGAAGGTGGCCAGTTCTTCCGATGCCAATTCGTATTCAAACGTCAAGGCTTCGTCAAGGCTTCAAAGAAAGATCCTCGGTAAGAATCGGTAAGAATATGCAAGATATGTTTATATGTACTGACAGTTACCACTGTTATATGTGTATATATTATATTTTATGATCATAGAATCATATATTATCCTTTTGCTGCAGCTCTGTTCTCAAGCTGCGCCACTGTCGATCCAAAAAGATCAGGTTGATCGATCAGCGAGAGTGGTCGATGTTTTGCTCAAAATCCCATCTGACAAAAAGAAGGAACTCACAAAAAGGGAAGTGTACTCAGTACCCCCCTAATCCACCACATACGCTTCACATATATATTTTTTTTCTTCGTCTCTTTTCCTAAGCTCTCCGGTCCCTAGACCTTTTTGGTCTTGAAGCAGCTCGGCAGCGTGGTTTGACTGGCCTGCTCTCCGCATGCTTGTCGCAATCCTTTGCTGGCTTGGTACGAATCTGCACGATTCGTTGCATGGGCCCTGCACTGCGTGCAGTACACTTTGCCCCCTTGGCGCCACATTTTGTGGCTGGTGTGGCCAAGCCAGCCATTTGGAATCGGCCATGGCTTGTTCCAACAAGGGCCCTCGGCCAAGGCCAAAAGTTTCTCACGGGCAGAGTTGCGCAAAATGCGTCCCTTACATGCCGTGCAAACAATGTAGTGCTTCTGGACTTCAAACTTGTGACTCTCCATCTGCGGGAGCTCGCCAGCCACCATCTGTTGGATGAGGTCTTCTTTGGTTGAAACTGCAGGGGATTTCCCACCAACCAAATCGACTTTTGCTGCACCTGAACAAATCTCGGTTTTTGCCTTCTCAAGGTCTTCAACTGTGCAATGCTTTGTGATGCGCACCTTGCATTTGGTGCATTGCAGTCCAATGCCCTTTTTCTCCCAACTGTGGCCATACTCAGTATGATGATTGCCCAGGTCAAGGAAAAGTTGGGTCTTCTTGGCTCTTGTCTGTTCCCTTCTGGTCTTTCCTGCTTCTCTTGTCTGGTGAAGGAAATGATCCTTAGTCTCCAGCAAGTATCTGATGCGCTTGATAGCCAAAGGTGCTATCTTCTGGTAGCGCTGATCAGTGAGGTGCAGCTCTTCTTCTAGGTGGTGGGGTCGGAGCGACATGGCCACTTCTTTTGCCGCCTTGGTTGCGTCTCGCAGCCTGGCTCGGACCGTGTACACACCTTTGGGCATCTCGTTGACCTGCTTGAGCGTCAAACTCAAAGGTTGTATTCGCTGTCTTTGATCTGCAGTCACTAGGTTGTTGAGATCGAAAAAGGTCTCCGCGTGGCGACCCTTCATCCAGGCCTCCCAGGCTCGAACCGAAAGAACCTGCACCACCACCTTCTTGGACAAATCCAGATAGTGGGCTATGAGCCTTAGCCCGTAGAACCAGGCTCTTTCAATCGACTGTTTTCCGGGCAACACTGTAGTGACAGCTCCTTTCCGAAAAAGGTCACCATTCAAATGAGTGTGGTGAACCAATGCAACAACAAAATGTTTGAGTCGCGGGTCATGGCTCGTTGGGGCTATGCCTATGGTCACCATGTCATGTTCTCCAAGCCGAACTTCATCATTGATCGTCCATGAGCCCCAAGTCTGGACGGCCGCACCGCCAGTTGATATCTCATATTGGGGCAGCTGCAATAGGCCCTGGGCCCAAAACTCAAGGTTGATGCCTTGCTCGATCTCTTGCTTGTCAAGCTGATCTAGCGGTGCAAACTGCTTTTGCGTCTGTGGGCACAACCAGAGGAGGTGAATCGGGGTGGCCTCTGTGTGACAATGAGGGCACATCAAATGTTTGCCCTCCTGCCCATCTGCACTGCGGGTGAAAATGGCACCTTGATGCCACGTTTGCAGCGCTGTGTTTTGGGGTTTGCTCAACTGTCTGCTCATTCTTTTCCAAGGCAGCCAATCCAATGGCTGCTGCACTTCCTGAAGGAAAGTGCGTTGGCTCACTTTCATGACAGTTTCCCACTTTTTTGCCCTGGCCAGCTCTTGCTTCAGGAAGAACCAGTCTGCATGCATGTTCAACCGGCATTCCGGTTCCCCGTTGTGTCCGGGCTTGGTCCACTCATCGTACCTGTCGCATTGCCACCCATGCTCCATCAAATAACATTGCAATGCAGCCACAGGTCCTTTGGCATGTTGCCATGGATGCTTTGCCGCCCGAAGTTTTTCTTTCTGAAAATTCCAGGCTTTCTCCAAATCTCTGGCAAGGTGCTCTGGCCAGTTGCCGAAAAACCGGCGGTACAGCCGCACCTGATCCTCAAAGGCACCATAGTCAGGATCTCTGTGCTGTTTCTGCATATCAAAGAGGATGTCAATGTTCCCCGTCTTTTGCAAACCCATTTGCCGGCCCATTGTTGCACGAAGACGCCGGCGAACCTGGGGAGCAATACCCATTGCCTCATGGCCCCAGCTAATGCCAGCTACTATGCTGCCCTTGTACAATTTGAGGCGGATGGCTCGTTCAGGAATCTTCAATGTCATCAGCTTGCGAGTCTTTCTGGCCGCTTTGGTGCGTCTAGCTCGTAGTTTGAATCCTTCTCAAACGGCCAGCCGTGCAATCCACGCCAAGATCACGCATCACATCATGGACTCTTGGGCCTCCCTTGGGAAGCTGTTCTTGGAGGATCTTTTTGACTGCGGCATTGGACACAATGAAACCTGTCTTTTGGGCCGAGACCTTCAAATTGTCCTTCTCAAGTTCTGTTTTGACAAATTCATATGCCTGTATCGCGATTCTTGCAGCATTGTGAGGATCCTTGTCAACAACATCAAAACTCAAGTCATCAATCCATAAGTCCGTGTGCAGTTGAGGGAAACGTCTGCTGAACTCACGGAGGGCTCTTTGCAAATAGACCTTAGCTGCCAAAGGCGCTTGCGGGTCACCTGCCAGAATGCCATGGCTTGCCCATAGCGGCTCGGACGCTTCTCCTTCTGCTTCCAAGATCCTGCTGCCTGCATACACTTGCATGGCCAGGGCCGCATGGGTGGCTGGATACGAGGAATCCAACCAGCGGGTTGCCAGCTTTTGCAGATTGATGCGGTCATAGAAATTGGAAAGGTCTAAAAGGACAGAGACAACTGTTCTTCGGTGTGCTTGATGATGTTCCGTCATGAAAGCTCTCTTCAGAGCTACCTGCAAACATTCTGTCCCTGGCACGGCCCTTTCCCAAGGATATTCGTCCTGTATGTGCTGGGCCCACAGCTTGGTCTGCCCGTTTCTCAAACGGCACCAAAGCCTGTAGAGGGTGGCAACCAATGCAATGGGGCGCTCAATGACTTGAGACTTGGGCAGAAGAGCTATCAACGAGGTCCCCCATTGGCTGGGTATCATGGCCGCTGCCTCGATCTGATGAAAGAGCTCTTTCAAATCTGTCATTGCACTGAAAGGCAAAGCTTTGAGAAAGTCAAAGCCAATGCCATCCAAACCTGGTGCCTTGAGAGCCAACTGCTTGATGGTGTACCAAATCTGTGCCTCAGTCAGCGGAGGGAGCTGCTTAGCAGCAGCTTGGCCTCTCTGGATCATCTGCTCCATGCTAGCAATGAGGACCAGTTGATCCTGTGTTTGCCAGATGTCCCCCCACTGTTGAACTCGCTTTGCCATGCGCTCACTCCGTGGCTGGTCTTGGAAAGGCCTCATGTATGGCAGCTCGTCCTTCTTGAGTGTGCGATACAATCCGCGGCATCCCTTCTGTGTGGCCTGGGTCAGCCATTGCCTGTATTCTTCGGTCTCTTGTTGAAAACTCTCTTGTTGATGCAGTTCCCTTTGTCTGGTGGTGTAGTTCAAAAGGACATGAATGTGCTCATCGCCATGCTGATGCCATAGCATTTCAAACAACATCTTGTAGCCTTCACAAGTAACCGGAGCATCCGGGTGCCAGTTCTCATCGATGTGCCAGCCTAGCTTTTGTAAGCCTGCCTGATGCCGAGGTTCACGCTGAGACTGGTGCAACAACCGTTGCAACCGGATTTCGATCTGACCCCAAAAGGCCAAGCTGCCTTTCCTCCATAGCCACGGCTTGCTGGGGTCAGCAATGGGTCGATGAACGTACTGGAGATTTGTGCCTCTCCCAGTAGTGGGTTTGTCCAGCTGTTGAAGCACAAATCGTTCAATGCGGTCATACAGGCTACCAGTCTGGGAAGTGAGGTTGTCCGTCTCCTTGTTCAGCCAGTTTACTTTGACCTGTCTGGTTTCAAAGTGGTGCCACTCTTTTTCTGGCTTGCTGAGTTTGGGCGCTGGCCCATATTTGGAGAGTTGTCGCACCACCACGTCCTCAAAATGACCAGCCAGTTGAAAGCGGAGCATGGCATGAGGTTTGAAAGGCACCATCCAATCCGTCTGAACCGTCATGTCTGCTATCAACTGTGTGGAGACAAATGCCCAATCCAGCTCATTGCCAGTGTTGCATGTCTCCTGCCCTGTTGCCAGAATTTGTACATGCATGACCTGTGCCATGGTGGTGGTCATGAAAACTTCCGGCGGAATGTTGAAGTCGCCGAACACGATCACCGGCCGTTGCAGACTCGTCACAAAGGCCAGTAAACCAGCCCACAACCTGCTGTTGCATGGGCCTTGCATCCCTTCGCCACATTTGAAATAACTCATCACCAAAATCAATTCGCTATTGCCAAAAGTCCAGGAAACACCATACCACCCGCATCCGTCAATGACCTGCTTCTGGACAAAATGGAAATGTTGATTCGGTGGGTAGACCATCATGAAACCCCCATTGGTGCCTCCCTTGACAGTCTCAGCTGCTGGTTCACCTAGCATGTTGAGTCCACGTGTGACCAGCCATTGCTGTGTTTTCTCAAAATCCGCTGCACCCAGGTGAGTTTCCACCATGAACAGAGGCTTCCTGGGGCGAGTGATGATCCATTGTCTCACTGCTTGCCCAAGTTGCGTGATGTTGGCAAAGTCAAACTGGATGCCCTCAGTACACTGCCTCTTTGAAGCCTGTTCCGGCACCATGGGTTTCTGGCGCCCTGGTGTCACATATATATATATATATATATAAACAGTGTGTATATATAATATATGACGGCCGTCTAGTTTTTGCTCACCTCGGGGTGGGAGAACAGGATCATCTTTTCCCCTGGAGTCTTCACCGGCGCTTCACCGCCGGCGCTTCGCCGGTCCGGCCTAGCACGATGTTGAGCCGCTGGGTGTCGAAGGGAAAGAGCCGCATGTCGATCTCCATCTGCATCATGGCCTTCACAAACACAAAGACCAAAATAAAACGATCTCTTCAAAATCGCAATAAATCTGTTTGCTTTGTATGTTTGTTTGACCGACCACACCGGCAATCCGAGGAGTTTGGTGGCAGACCGATTCGACCGCTTCGCACTCCTCGGGCGGCAGCTGCCCGCGGTCTCCGGTCGTTGAAATCAAAATACGGCACGATGAGACGCTGGAAATCCAGCTCCTAACCGAACCAGAAACAAATGGTTGCTCCGAAAAATGGCGCCAGCTGCAGCTTGATCCTTTACATCAAAAATGGCTGGGACTGGGGAGTTCCATCCAATTCTTTCTGGTTGGGACTGGGTTTCCAGCCTAGACTATGTATGATGTCACCCTGGCCCATACCATACGAGTATGGCACAACATGCCACCCGTCCGTCCTTTCACTTCCACCCCGAAAACTCGGTCGGGGAGACCATTCCGAGGCGACCAGGGAGTCCAGTCGAAAGAGTCCTATGCCCTATGCACCTGGAGAGAAATCGTCTTTAGGGAGAGAAATCGGGAGCAACTCAAACACCCTGGTGCTAGCCCTTACCAAAACAAAACAGCAAACGGAATCAAGACAGGTTGACTCCTGTCTCGATTCCGAGCAACTCAACCGACCAGCGCGAGGGCCACCAAACCAACCAACCACCGCCACCGCATACCCGCCCCGCATGGCCTGGTAGAGGACCTTGGCCGCCACATGACCCTTCTCACTGAAGATGATCTCAGGTGGATAGTGGATCTCAACGCCTCAGAGGAGAAAATACCGGAGAACATCTCGGAGAAAATACAGGCGCTATGGCAACTGGCAACTCCTGCTAGGTTCCTTCACAATCCTTCACATGGAGCGTGTTTTTTCACGGTGAAGTCTGCAACGTTTTGTTTGGTCCTGTTTCTGCCGTTCTGCAGGTGTTCCAGCAGCTCTGAGAGGCCCAGGGGCCGGTCTTCAAGGTGTTCTGCAGCGCAATTTCCGGGATCCACAACTTCTTCCGGTTGTCCTGGCGAACCGAGGCGAACCGTGGGCGAACCGAGTGCTGCGCCTCTACATCAACGCGGAGGTTGCAGTTCCGGAGGTGACAGTTCCGGAGCAGTTTCCCAAATCGGTGACAGGGTGAAAGAATGTCCACTTGGATGAGTGAAACGCCACCCCACTGGTCCACTTGGATGTTTGTTGGGCTGGTGCAGGTCTGGTCTTGTGCAGGACCACCTTGGGATCAGATGGTGAGCCAGTCAGGATTTAGGTCTCAGTACTGAACGGATGTTCAGCGCCGATGACATCCGAATGCCAAAAAAGGATCTCTGGCACAGCACGTGTGGCACGCGTGTCAGCACCTTGCTTCCCATTCAAATCAATGAGAGCTGGTGAGTCTGACCTATTCAATCTTATTCGGAAAAGAGAAAAACCGGCATTCGTTGGATGATCTGACCTCGGGTGACATGTTCAACAGTGTGGGGTCAAAATCCTCCAAAACCGTGGTGGACATTCCTTGGGTAGTTTCACCAAAAAGTCTGGTCGACATGCCCGCCAAAGGTCAAGAAGACTCGTCATGAATCTCAAAACGAGTCTTAAGGTGCTGTGGAGCACGGATGGTTTGATGGGGGACCTTCACCCCAAGTCTTCTCCACTTGGAAAGGTTCAGTTTAGCCCACTGTGAGCGAAAGGAAAGGAGTTCTCCTACCTGCCTATGTCTGCAGATGCCAAGGTAGGATGATCGAAGGCAGAACCGAAACTCCCAGTCTGAACCCAACCCAAGCCCAACCGTGCACACCGAAAAAAATATATAAATCACCAGAAAACACCGCTCGGCCGCCTCCCGGCGCCTCCCGGCGCCGCGTGTGGACTGGCGCCCCCCCGCCGCGTGTGGACTGGCGCGCCTCGGAGATGTCGCCCGGCGGCATTCCAACGGCGGCGGGGTCGAACCATTCCATGAAGATGAAGAAGCGACACTGGTAGGTGGCCGTCAGCGGGTTGATGTTCCGGATCCTGTCCGGGCGGACCGTCGATCGTTTCGGGCGACGGGACCGGAGAGATGGAGCGAGCGATGAGCGATGGGGGCCGGGGGCCGGGGAGATGGGGAGATGGAGAGATGAGGTGAGGTGATGTAGGGCCTCTGAAAGGGCTAGCTGGTTTGTACTCTGGTTTCTGATAGCTTCTAGATCGGAATACACGGAGGGTCCCACGAGAGAGGTCAGGGTCAGCGGTCGGTAGTTGTGAGGTTGCTTACCAGGACAAATCAATCTGTGAAGCAGCCGGCATGGGCATGAAAGATCATCTGTGACATCCTGTGCCAGCCAATGCAGTAGAAGTGGTGTCGCCGAAACGGAAGAATATGGATCCACTCATTTGTGCTATAAACAACTGCAGGGTTTCAGGGCGATGTCCATAGTCCCAAGTCCCCTTTGGACTTGCTCTCAAAACTTGATGAACAAGATCCACTTGGATTCTCCGGGATTCAACTCATCCTCCATGACTATTCCAGGAATGGTCTCTAATTAGTGCCACCACATGCACCGACCTCGTATCTCTCCCGCAAAATGGTTGTGGTCACTGGTCACCTCCCCCATTCTTCCTTCTTCCTCCAAAACATCCCCAGTCCACGTCCATGTCTCGTGACCCGAGGAAAGACCGACGTCGAGCGCGGCCGCGATCGGACGTCGACGTCCACGCCGAGCGGCAGCAGGATCTCGCAGGAGCAGGCGACCGCATGGGTGGCCGGAGCCCCTGATTTCTCGGAGGCTTCCTGCCGAAGCCAGGGGGACAGAGGCGAGGCCTCCAGGTGGGGCCTACGCTTTTTTGGGGTTCTGCAGGTGGGGCGTACGTTTTTGGAGGGCTCCATCATCAAGCTGCCGCAGGCCTGGCCTTCCACTGGACCCGTCCATCGACACCTCATACCCCATCCCTGCTTCCGTTGTTGGAGAAGCAGCTTGCTTCAGGAAGCTGCACTTCAGCCCAAGGCACTGTCAGCCATCTGCTTTCTATCTCACCTGTGCCTGACCAATCACATGGCGCCGGTGGATCGTTCTGCCTTGCTCCAACCACGCCCCCGACCACCATGCTGACGGTGCCTTGTCGCAGTCCGACGAAGGCACTCAAAATGAGTTGCTCATTCGCTGCAGAGAACTGCAGCGTCAAGACCAGCTACAAGTATTGCACCAAAAACTGTGCCAGCCAATGCCAGCATCTCTTCAACTGATGATCCACTGGACGGACCACAGGGTCGCCATCCGATCTCCTCCGATCTCCGCTATCAGGAACAGAGTCCACTGGCTCCAACAGCTTGCTTAACACATCGATTCATTGAGGTGGTTCATGGTGTTTCATTACTCGGCTACTGAGATCTTTGGTCCTGGGAAGCTATGTAGAGCATGGCATCAGAATCAAACAACCGTGATCTGCACAGACATTGAGGCCGACACCAGAACACAATTGGTCTAGGCATTGGAATGTTGCATCTCTGCCAAAAAATGTCTCTATATATATATAAACTATTTTATTAGTGTATATTATATATATACATGTGTATATATATATATATGTATAGTATGCAACACCCATGTTGCTTTGAGCTGCTTTTCGGAGCCACACGCGGGCGGCGGTTGCCTGCCACCCGGCCTTCGCCACCATCCGAAAGCGGAGGTCCTGGGCCATTTAGGTCCACCGACAGTAGAGAGGGCAATACACAGAAGTGGAGTTCACCCCCTGTTCAGTACTCGGATTTCATGGTAAGTTCCAGATGTCCACTTCCATGTTAGTTCCCAAGTGTAATAAATATGTGTGTAAATGTGGCGGCGAGGACATATATATATTTGTGAGGCTGTCTCTACTTCTATCATCTCATGACACCTTCCCAGGC